TGCAACTGCAAGTGTCGCACCCGACCGCAACTGCATGTCTTGTAACCCGACCACAACTGGACTTTTATTCTGTCGGAGGGGGCGGGCCAGTTGCAAGCCCGACAACAGCACCGCAACTAGAACCGCCGCACCCGGCCACAACTGCATGTCCCCAACATGGTTGCAACTGGACCTTTGTTTTGTCGGAGAGGTAGTGGGAGAGGGGGCGGGCCAGTTGCATGTCTGACACTAGGCATGCAACTGCAAGTGTCGCACCCGAGCGCAACTACATGTCTTGTAACCCAACCGCAAGTGGACTTTTTTGTTCTAACGAGGGGGCGGGCCAATTGCAAGCCCGACAACAGCCCCGCAACTGCAAGGGTCGCACATGACCGCAACTGCATGTCCCCCAACATTGGTTGCAACTGGACCTTTGTTTTGTCGGAGGGGGCAGCGGGAGAGGGGGCGGGCCAATTGCATGTCAGACACTAGGAATGCAACTTCAAGTATGGATCCTGGCTGGAACTGCATTTTTTCAACACGGCTGCAACTTAGTGGCGTTCTGCCATTTTTTTATGAAAAAACTATTGCACGCCATATCTCAACTGTAACTACATGGTGTAACATGACCCATAACAAGGGATACAAGTACCAACAACTAGCGGCTCCCTACACCTTCATTATCTTTTCAAATACACATTGAATATTTTTAAAATACATTTTTATATTTTAAAATATATGGTGAATATTTTTAAATCTTTTTGAATATTTTTATAATTACACAACTATTTTATCAATACACGTTGGACATTTTTGAAATGTTCAAACACTTTTTCTGAAGTATAACGACGAATGCAAAAATGTGCTTCCTTTTTTTGTGAACATGTAATTAAAAATGAAATAAAATAAAAACATTGGACAAACAACAGGAAAAGTTAAATCAGAAAACCTAGGACATAGAATGGAAAGCTAGACAACACGCAAAAAAAGAGAACAAAAATGATACACATGTGCACATTAGTCGGACGCATATAGTTGCTTATCTGTCAATCACAGGCAACTAAATTGTCTTCTTCTTTTCATTTTGTTTGTTTTTCTATTTATTTTCTTTGTTATATTAAAGATTTTTTTATCATTTAAAAATAAAAATAATATTTTTAAAAATGATAAATAAAGGAAAAAGTAACAAGATGAAAAGAAAAGAAGGAACGGAGCATTAGCAACGCTAGCGTAAAAGAAATACGAACTACATCGTGCTGTATAGCAATACACCTAATGGGACAATGTTCTAGCGATCCAGTAAGAAGCACAAATAGAAAAACAGGAAAACACAATACAACCCAACAACAGCCCACATGGTGAGGCAACACAGGTCAAGGCAGGCCAACAAGGAATGCGAACTCCAGCCAAGCGAACGGAAATTAACGTGCGACTAGTTTAGAGATGACGTCAGCGACTTAGACTTTGCGAAGTCTAAATCGACTGAGACCTAGATAGAACCAAAAACCAATGTATCAAAAAATCGTTGATAAAATAAAGAAATGCGACTAAAAAAATGCGGGCACTAGCCAGCCGTGACGGACCAGATGCGTCCACGCGTTGGACGCACCGTCAGCGCATCCATGAAAATAGCTAGACGCCGTTTCATTTCTCTATTCAAATGGACGAAATTCAGACAAAACGGACTGGTAAACCAAGGTAGTGAGATGTGACACTTGAACATCCTACGAATTGTCACACCGCAATGTGGTACCACAAGGATTTAGCAGCAACAAATGTCATTCCAAATAGGCATCGTCATGTTCGTACTGCCTTTTGGCAAGACTCACACAGCAACACCGATATGATACTAGTAACAAGGTGCCAATGCCGGTGGCCGGCCGGCCGGTCTTTATTCTTTGTCCGGGCTTGGTGTGGAGCCCCGCGTGCTGATGCTGAGCTCATTGATGAAGCCGACGAGCCGCTTGAACTCCTCCGCCGACGAGCCCCCATGGGCGATGTCTTGTCTCACCTGCTGCGCCAGCGCTTGAGCCGACCTCCTTAGCTCGACGGACTCCATGGCCTCCCTCACCATCCGCTCCACGACGGCCCTCTCGCACACGTCCTTCATGTCCAGGCCGGTGCCCCACACGGCGGCCATGAACCGGCTGTTGGTCTGCTGGTCCACGAAGAAGGGCCAGCACACCGTCGGCACGCCCTCGGCGACGCTCTCCAGCGTGGAGTTCCACCCGGCGTGCGTCAGGAAGCAGCCCACTGCCCGGTGGCGCAGCACGTCCCGCTGAGGCGCCCACTCCACGACGCGGGCCTTGCCTCTCCCGGCCGCCTTGATGGCGTCCTGGAGGACGGCGTTCTGGCTCGCCCCGACCATGTCCGGCCTGAGCACCCAAAGGAAGGGGTGGCCGGCGCTGACGAGTCCGGACAGGAACTCGGTGAACTCCTCGACAGAAATGATGGCGAGGCTGCCCAAGCTCACGTACACGACGGTTCCGTCCGCCTGGCTGTCGAGCCACGCCGTGCAGCCGTCGTCCTCCCGCCACAAGGCGCCGCCGGCGGCCGGCTGCTGGAACATGGCGTGGAGAGGGCCTATGGCGAAGACGTCGCGCATGTGCGGCGCGATGTGCGCGAGCGCCGACCGCTCCAGCGACGCGGTCGTGTTGAGTATGAGCGCCCGCGCGTTGCAGCTGTGAGCGCTGAACTCGGCGATTATCTTAAGCATGGGGTGGAGGCCTCCGGTCCCGTCGTCCCCGCGGCAAAAACTTGGAAGATCGCGCCGCCGCAGGAAGCCCTCCATTCCCGGAACGCCACGGACGGGCGCGTCGAGGTCGGCGCCTGCCGGGACAGGGACCTCGCCGAGCTCCACGAGCTTGGGCACGGAGAGGTAAGCGAGGAAGCTGCACGCGCTGGCCGTGCGGAAGGCGAGCGCCGGGACGCCGAGCTCCTCGGCGACGTTGATCGCGAACGGGAGCATCCCGTCGGCGACGACGCAGGTCACGGGAGGGAAGCCATCGTCGCGGGGCGCGCCCGCGCGCAGGGACGCGAGCAGAGCACGGTAGGCGACCCTCGTCGTCGTCATCATGGACTCCACGAGCGCGACGAGGTCGCCCGCCGTGCGGGGATGGTCGTCCGGGAGGCCGTCGGTGACGGACAGGAACCGGAGCCGCGGTGAATCGGCCTCGACGACCGAGGCGGCAAGGCCTAGCCGCCGCCGGTTGTGGTCGGTGTGGAGGAAGGTGACGTGGAGGCCGGCGTCGAGGAGCCCCGCGGCGAAGTGGAGCATGCAGTTGATGTGGCCCTGCGCCGGGCACGGGAACACCAGCACGTGCGCCGCCATGCCGTCGCCTCGCCTCGCCTGCACCCGCGCGCGCTCACCTACGCTGCTAGGTCTTCTATCCCGCGCGCGCGCATGCAGTGACGCAGCTGGGTTTCTCTTGTTCCCGCTTTCAGTGTAAGCATGGTGCATCTATAGAGAGAGAAGTGTGCAGGCGCAGCAGCACACGTCAGCAATTACGTGTCGGTGGCGGCGGCTAGCGCTTGCAAGCTTCAGCTACTAATAATTACCTTAAAGAATTACGCAGCTGATGCCGTCATCACCGAGCAAACGGGATGGACCGGTAAATAAATCGATTGACATGTGACGAGCTAGCTAACGCGAGCGTGTGGCCAGATTCTAGTGGACGGCGAGAATGAAACAAAGATAAGCTGCCCCGCAAGATTCTAAGACATCGTACAATGCAAGTTGCAGGGTGCTTACAAAAGATACTTGGAGAAATAAATCAGGCTTTTTTAGACACCGGTACTTGTTTGTACGAGGTGAACGTTTAATTAGGCATTTCTTCTCTAGAAATAGGCACATGTATTGATGATTCAAAAAAATCTGATTTATTTTTCTAAGCATCTAGCATCCGGATCGTGTAGCTTTAGGTTTTAGGTCCTAGTAGCTTAGATTTTTGGGTCGTCCATCGTCTTGGTTTTGGCGGTGGCAATGGTGGCGTTGAATAAAGAAGCTTCATATCTTTCCGCGATGAGGCGATTGGTCCTATGATTTGAGATGGATTTGGAAACTAATTTGTTCAAGTAAGGATGGCGTGGCGGCGACGACATCCTCATAGTGGACTTGTGTCCTTGGACTTTGCCGTGTGACAGCGTTTGCTCCAGCGCCGGTGCGGAGCTTAGGAGGTAATCCAGAAGCGGATGCAAATTGTGGTATGCAACGGTGGCATCTAGAAGATGGTGAATCATGTACTGGGTTTGTGGTTCGTGGCTGGCAGGTATGGTTTCCTCCTCTTGTGACTTAGTCATGCAGGGGAGACAGATCTGGAGGATGGCGTGTCTGGGGTGTTGCCCCGGTCTGATTCGTTCAACTGCAATGGCTTCACTATTGGTGAGTCATTTTGGAGGTTCGTAAAACTGCATATCAGCGATGGAGCTGCGTCAAGCTCAGCTGAGGAGGTGACCCGTCAATTTTTCCTCTGGTGGTGCCGAAGGCAAGCGACACACGTTGGTGTGAAGTTAAAGGGTTTCTTCGGTTTTGCTTATAATTTTCTTTCATTGATGGTGTTCATTTGTGCAAAAGCTAGCATTTTGTTGTCTTTTCAGTTTTGCGCGGCCGGTGTCTAGATGGCTTGTACTATGATATTTATGATATAAATGAGACACATATTACCATAAAAAAATAGTTTAGAAGCCGGCATCTTCACTCGTTATTTCCTGGATGTGGCTAGCTCAGTCGACGACTGAGACTTCAAGTGAAACGTATAAGAAAGAAAAAAGAAAAAACTAAAAGAAAAATTGCATGAATCTTCATGCAAGATCTCACGAATATAGATCCACCGAGACTTGGACATAACCAAGTCTCAGTCGACATTTAGCAAGACTATTCCTGTAAACAAAATCAATGGCCGGTTACCAGGCCGTGCCCTGTTGCGAGCACGGAGCACCAATGGCGGCGCACCAATCAAATGCAATAGCAACAATAACGTGATCAATGGTAACAGTAGTACGAAGCGAGGCTGCTGCAGTTGCTACGTGTGGGAGGCGTTCTTGAAGACATGGCAGGTGGAGTCACAGGGGTAAGGGCAGTCCGTCTTCTGAAACCCACTGCGGCCGTAGAACCAGTCCCCAACCGCGCTTGCTATTCTCTGCGACAGACACAGAAAGAAGGAGCTCTCGTCAGATAAACAAACACCAGGCCGTCGCCGGCTGAGCCCCGGGAAAACTTGTATGCAAACGAAATTCAGCGGTGCAAGAGAAGACGGCGAGGGTGTTCACTTTGCCTCCGAGCACCGGCGAGCCGGGCGCGAACCAGATCTCCTGTATCTCGGACTGGCAGTGCGCGAAGCACGAGTTTATGAACAGCCCTCTGGTGGGTGAGTCCCCTTGGGCCTCGATTGCTTCCAGGAAATGGTCCCTGAATCCTGAGGTGGACATACACAGTACTGAATATACATACACACAGGTTCATGGCTGACCCGTCAGTGCAATGCAGTAGCACTTACCCTGTAAAATCTTAAGTTGCTTCGCCGAGCACTGGTTTATGTCGTGCTTGCAGCTTCGCCAGCGAGGATCAGAACCTCCAGGCACCAAAATGTTCCGTACCTGCATGCGGGCACGTGGAAACAGAATCAAGATTGGTGCCTTGATGGATGGTGGTGTCAACTGTCAAGCATACTGCAGGTAGAAATGGTTTATATCTGATGATAACCTGCCATGAATCGTATGCTGCATTCAGGATGAACAGGGGTGTCTGAATCTGTTTCACCTCATTCTGAGGAAAAAGGCACTGCATCCAAGCAAAATGTTTTTGTAAGGGAGTGCAACCTGATCCCTAGATGTGCATTGTGGCTATTGCAAGTGCATCTTACCATGCCTGCAGGCAACTTGGAAGTGCACGAAGATGGTAAATTCTTGGCCGAGCCCTACGGTATTTGTACACAACACAATCAGGTACAAGACAAAACAGCATAATAAGTATAGGTGCAAAGCATTTTATTTTATTTCGCAACATGAGATATTGTTACTGATGCCACTTTATGCCACAGTTTGAACTCGAAGCTTATATTGTCGAGTAGGGCCTTTTGGTGACCGAGCTCCTTGGAGCCCTTTATTTTTTTTAAATTCAAAATTCAAACTTCCTTGTTTCAAAAAAAATCTGAACAAAAATATGCAGTATACAAGGATGAAATGTATATATGTGCAAAAATTGAGGATGAAATATCTTGAAATGCGACCTGTATAAAAAAGACAGTTTTCTGGACTTTGAGGATGAATAGTATCATGTGTTAAAAAGCCCCAGATTTTTTTTTTGCACAGCCCTCATTTCAACGTATTTAGTTCTGAAAATCTACACACATATACATTATTCCCCCATGTATATCTGCATTTTTTTTCAGATTTTTTTGAAATAAAAAAAATGAATCTGATGAATTTTGAATTTTGCAAAAGGAGTCCTCCATGGAGCCCAGCCTCGAAAAGCAATTTTCGGTCCTGAAATAAACTATATAAAGTGTCTTGTTTTAGGCATCGGTCGTTGATCGGTTGTCATGTCATAGTTAATAGTTATGTACACATAATCAGGTAGAAAGAGCAACAAAATGAAATGTGCATACATGAGTCTTAACTACATCACTGAAAAAGGCCGCAGCATGGTTTACTCCAGCAATGTCCTTCCTGTAGAGCAAATTAAGATGGGAAGTGTTAGACAAGGAAATAATTATTTAGAAATGCGACGTACTTTCTTCTATATATTGCAATGCCTAGTATATCTCCAAAGTGGCAAAAGCAGATAGCATGATTTTCCTTTTCTCCCAACTGGATTCAGTATTAGTACTGCCTTACACATTGATGAAGAAGCCAGCATCAGAAAGGCACTTAACATTGGCCGCCGCCGGCAGAAGCCGATGAAATCTGTCACAGTGCAGTATCGAAGTTAATCCACCAGCAGAACATCCCGAAATTAGAGCCTGCCACATCCTTGAAAAAGGAGGAAATTAGAGTCTGCTACAATTTTGCTAGTCACATGCTAGGCATATTGTGCTGATAAGAATGCATACATTTTCAGCTTTGTTCATTCCTTTAGCGAGCAGATCTTCCGTAACTGCTTGCCATACCCTCGCACCTCTGTAGTGTAGATTTGTTCTCTGTCAAGATTGCAAAATTAGAAGACAAAAACCTCAGTTCAGACCGGCAGTAATGCCTTCAGTAGGAGGAAATCATGGAAGCTTGGAGTATGGGCTCACCGGATCAACTTCTTCCTTGTCGCCAGTGAAAGACGAGCCGTCGCAGTACCGGACCCGGACCTTGTTCCAGTTGTAGAAGTCTATTCTTTGTCAAATTGCAGCGCACACACATTAAGCACAAGAATTTAAATTTAGGCAGTCTCAAGCTTGGAACTGCCACTATTACAAACCTGACAAAGAGAAGCAGAGCACAACAAATTATGTGATGGCCAGGTGGTGAGACTGAAGTATACCTGGGTTGTAATCCGGGGTGTTGCTCAAGATCCCGGAGAAGGCAACCTGCTTGGCCATCTCCTTGGAGGAGCCTAACCGGGTGTGCGACCGCTGCAGGCAGGTCGTCACATTGTTGCACCATCCTCCTCCCTGCCGCCGCCAAAATTTGCATTCAGAGTTGAGCTAAGCATATTCCTTGGCACCAAATTCTGTACGTGCTCCGAGCGGGTTTGATAACTGACCTCAAAATGAACCAACCAGCTGTTCGACCCGGAGCCGGAGCCACGGGCGAGATGGTACGCAGGGGGACTCCCGTCCAGACATACTACGATCCACAGAATCATACGTCAGGCTAGATTGGCGAGAGGCCGGGAAGGAGAAGCAACAATGGTGTGACTGACCTGCCCCTTTGGCCACGGCGCTGTCGACGTAGGTAATGTCCACGAAATAGCCGTCCGCCTCGAGGACCGCCAGCGCGCAGGCGAACGCCGAGCACCAGAGCCGCAGCTTGCTTCCGTCCCCCATTCCCGTGGCTGAGCCCGCGACAGCGAACGAGCTAGAGAAGGAAGAAATGGCGGAAATGCAAGGGTCAGGGAAGCACACACATATATAACCGGCTAACAGCAACAGGCAGCTAGCCATGGAGGAGGGAGGCCGGAGCGAACCTGGTGGAATGGAAGCCGGCAAGCCGCCGTCTCGTGCTAATCTCGCAGCCGGGTCGGTTCTCTAGCTCCCTCCCTCTTGTGCAGCTGCAGCAGGGAGAGAGGGCCGAGGCCGAACAGAGCGACGTCGCCGATGCTTCGAGCTTCCCAATGCTATGCGAGCTGCTGTGCCTGTGCGGCTGTGCCTGTGCGTGCCGGCTCACGCCTGTTTTTCCACGCCGGCAGTGGCAGTGGGCCGGGATGGGACGCCGGACCGGACGCGTCTTTTCCTTTTTCTTTTGGCTCGCTCGCGTACGTCCTTGTGCGTCAGTAACTCAGTAATCAACGCCTCTGCCGTCTATCTATCTGTCTGTCTGTCATACATATGGCGGCCGGGCGTGGATGCTGTTGGGGGGTGAGCTCAAATGAATGACGGGGATTAAAAAGCTGCGGTGCACTGCGGGACGGCCAGCGGTACCACCCGTGCTCCGCCTCGCAAAAGTCCTCGGTGACGCCGGGCAGTGCCATGAACGTCAGCCCATTTTCTTTTCTTTCTGCCATGAAAATGGGAACGGATGAAACATTCAGAAAAGAGATCTCTTCAGAAAAGAAAATGGAAAGGCAAGGCAAAGCCGGAGAAAGTAGCAAGGAAATTCTTGTTTTTCTGGAATCTGTGGTTTGCATATACTAATGGAGTAGAACGGTTCAACCAGAGCTGTTTCTCAAGAAGAAGAATCAGGGTTCATCTCTTCCCTTTTTTTAGACAAAAAAAAGGCGTGCTTATGAGACCAAGCGTACTGTGGCGGCGTTTCGATGCACCTACGGCAGCACCACCGATGCTGTGATGAATGGGCTGTGGCTCTGCTACCAGCGCTGTACCTCATGTCACGTGCATCTTTTAGCGAAAAACGATGTCACGTGCATTTCAAGACGACGACAGTGGCTTCCGGGCGTGTATTCGGCACGGCATGATAAGGTAGTTTACCTTGCGAATCTGCTGGATTATCTCACAGAATGTCTGTTGGTTTTCGTGGTTTCATTTTTCTAAGCTTGCGGACAGGATCGAACTACGTATGGTTGTGGGCCAGATAGTTCTTGACTTTGATTATTTGTCAAAACGGAGGCAAAGATTAATTAAACCCAAAAAATGCCCGGTTAATTAATGAAAAAACGGAACAAAAATCCATACAATCAACCACATGCGGACTACTCACGGAATATGTAACCCTAGCATCACACGGCCAACCTACAATCATACCTAAGACGCAACGGTCATCAAACCCACACACTGTTACATCGCAGAACCCCTAATGAGAGTATCTCGGCCCAAGACCACAAACACCAATAATTCCACGGAGACAAGTCATGCCATATAGACCACCCAAAAGACTAATTACCATCCATCAAGCAATTGCAGACGTCTTTCCTGTGCCGCCGCTCTTCTTGTTTTTGCTCCTGAGAGTGCTTGAACCAAGTTAATCGTCTAGTTTATCCCAAATCTTACGGGCGCACACACCCGCTCGTTCGGTAGTCTAGGCCCGCCAAGCTGCTTTTTTGTGACGATTTGTTGTTTTTTTACATTTTCATTCTTTTTTCTTTTTATTTTTTATGAAATATTCATGTTTTTTTAGTTTTATGATTTTTTTGAAAATCACAATAAAAAATTCAAACTTTTGAAACATTATTCAAATTTGCAAAAAGAACAACTTCATAAACTTTTTCAAATTTGTGAACTTTTTTCATTTCCGCGAACTTTTTTCAAGTTTATGAACTTATCTCAACTTTTGTGAACTTTTTCAAATTCATAAAAAAAATCTTTTTCGTGAACTTTCTTCAAATTTATGAACTATTTCAAGTCACCGGTCAACTAAGTCCCTGATCAGTGGTTAACTAAACAAATCAGATGGTTCTATTTCTCAACCTTTCTGACTTGCTCCTACGGAACCAAGGTCGAAAGGATTGAAAAAGTCAGCCATTCACAACCACTGATGAAGGATTCCTCAAAACCATCTCTTAGAAAGAGCCGCTAAATGATTGGACCAGACAGGTGCAGGTAGCTCGATTACGTTACCCGTGATTGAAACTGGTCCACTTGTCAATGGTCAATTGGTGAAGGAGTCAGCGAGAACGTGCTTATTTCTCTTTTTTTACACTGGCTCGCCCTTCTCGTGTTTTGTTGGGCGGCCCGTGCACCTGTCTGTGTGAGCGCCAGTTAGGTAGCTGGCGCCAGCGCCACCAGCGTCATATAGGAGGTCTCCGGGTTTAGGCGACCAATTAGTTGGTGGATACCCCTACGGGCCGGTTGTAGAGGATGCACGTGGGTGTGCCGGGTGATGCGCTCAGCTGCTGCCAAGTGTCATGGGCTACACACACGTTGTTCTTTTACCTCGACATGTGTATTTGGTTCTGAGCCGCCGCCGCTAGTCTTCGTCATCATCATCATCATAGCCATCTCCATCAACCTTAGCCGCCGCCATTTCCCATCTCCATAGCCACAACCTTCATCACCACCATAGTTCTCAGCAATCTAGTTTGTTTTTTATGTGTTCTTCATGTGATCTGATCTTCATGTGTGAGTAGTTTGGTAAGGTCATGGGTTGAGGCAAGGGCATTGCAACCCGATGTATTTGTTGGAGGGATCAATAGAAGTACTTTGAATTAAGCGTATCGTATGTGTAACATAAAATTGTTCTATAGTTGTTAGGGCATATTTCTCCCTTACGAATTTTGGTGATTGATGACAATGCTTTTGCGGACTAATTGATGTAGACACAGACCTAGGGTAGGGTAATAGGCCTGACCTATACGCCCCACCTAAAGTCTTGTCCTAAGAACTAAGGAGTTCAAGAGTCAGAAGTCGAGGACCAACAAAGGTGTCGAAGCGAAGTCCACTAGACCTATCAATCACTCGGAGACCTCTCTTACTCAGGTCACTCGACCACCAAACCACTCGACATATCAGAAGACCTAAAGCCACTCTACGCAGCAACGGTCAAGCATTCATTCGCATACTTAATGCTCATTTGTAGCACCTTAATACAGGCATTACCTGTAACGCCTCCTCTTAATGTATATTGAACCCCGCGTTACGGAGGGGAGATGGGGTCCTGGCGTACTCTATATAAGCCACCCCCTCTTCTGGGACAAGGGTTCGCATCCCCTGTAACTCACACACGTATAATCCAGTCGACCGCCTCCGGGCTCCGAGACGTAGGGCTGTTACTTCCTCCGAGAAGGGCCTGAACTCATAAACCTTGTGCGTACAACTTCTCCATAGCTAAGATCTTGCCTCTCCATTCCTACCCCCATATTCTACTGTCAGACTTAGAACCACGATAGTTGGCGCCCACCGTGGGGCAGGTGTCCTAGCGACTTGTTGGAGAAGTTGCGATTTTTCCGATCCCCTTCATCATGGTTTCGGGCGGAGTTTTGGTGGAGGGCCGCGAGATCCATCTCGGCGCGCTCACGTTCATCGCCGACGACTCTGCTTGGCTTCAGGAGGCTCCTCTCAACGTCGACGCGCTCCCTGTCCGCGGGGCAACGCCCTTTCGCGCGTGCGTCCGCGGCGTCCTCTTGCGGCAGCCGTCGACCCAGTATCGGTCGGCCCCTGTGTCGTCCTCCCTCCCTGTTTCCCGCCGGTGCAAACGCTCCGGTCGGTCGAGACTTCAGCGGTGGGTGAGACACGCGGTGGCTCGCCAGTCAGCCACCCCCCAAGTCGCGGCGATCGAACCCGACGAATCTCTCTACGGCCTGTTCGACCTGCCGACTGGCTCCGCAGAGACTGCATCCGAGTGCGACAGCAGTGATCCGGCGGCAGAGGTTCTGATGATCGATGAACCACGCAGTCCTCCCGGCTTTCCCCGCACCGATGGAGGCGGTGGCGGAGGCGGTCCGTCGCATACTCATGAAGAGTATCTCCCCGAGCCCCTTACTTCGCTGCAGAGAGAAGAACTTCACCGCCGGAACATGGATGCGCTGCACACTCCTATCGTTGGAGAAACCCCCGAGGCCCGTGTCTTAGAGGACATGCGCTTGGCCAACTTGGCTGAGCGCACTCGATTGGAGAACCTCCAGCGAGCACTCGACGAGCGTGCGCGACAACAGATTCCAACATCCAGTCGACGTCAGCTCTTTCCGCCACCGACTCAGGTATATCGAACTCAGCCTTCTCAGTCAAAGGCTGGCAGAGGCTTGTTGCAGATCAGAGCATTGCTCGGGCGGCAGGAGATCAGAATTCAGCTGTGTCACAGTCGCGAAATAGGATCCACAGCAGATCCGTCACTGCAGATCTAGTCCAGTCGGCCCACAGCCCAAGATCGCCCCCGAGGCGTGAGGAACGTGGAGACCGGCGCGATCAGAACAGGAACCGTGAGCAGTATGATCACCGACTCGGTCGGGATGATCGACATCGAGTACCCACCCCTCCCCCGAGGAGTGGATCGTACGTGCCTCGACAGCAGGATGACAGACGCCCTCACAGTGTTGGGCGAAGGATTCTAGTCGACCCCAGGGAGCCAGGCTTTGATGCGAGATCCGTTCTTGTTCAGGGTTTGGTCGACAGGAACAGAGCCCACCGAGAAGGTCGAGACAGAGATGTACCCACCAGCAGCAGAGTACACGTCTCAGGACCGGAGTGCTTCAGTAGAGCCATTAGAGTTGCGGTGATTCCTCCCAACTTCAGGTTGGCGACTGGAGTCAGAAAGTTCACTGGTGAGCCCAAGCCTGATACTTGGCTTGAGGATTACCGAGTGGCTGTTCAGATTGGCGGCGGTAACGATGAAGTGGCAATGAAACACCTGCCTCTTATGTTGGAAGGCTCGGCCAGAGCATGGCTGAATCAGTTAGCGCCCAGCAGCATTTACACTTGGGAAGATCTTGCCCGAG